GAACGAAAAAATGGTAATCTAATGGTCCATATCTGGAGAATATGGTGGGTGGGGGAGAACTTCCCAACCTAACTCCATAATCTTGGATTGCGTTAAACGTGTCACACGTGGACGTGCATTGTCGTGGAGAAGAACACCTTTTCGACTTTAAGAGCTTGATTTAAACGTTCCAGTTGCTGACTATAGATCTCTGCATTGACAGTTCGCTGTGGATTGAGGAGTTCGAAATGAATTACTCCTTTGATGTCCCACCAAATTAAATTAATGTCGCGTTTTGGAACACTTTCATTACCCCCCCCCCCAAAAAAAAACAACAAAGAAAATCACGTATAATAGTTAAACGAACCGCTTAAATATCATGTTAGTGTAACCTATATAATGTCTAAAGTTTATTAAACTCTAATCCCTTCTAGTGGTGGCACATGACGAGACACACATTCGGCATGTAATGCTGTTTGAATACAATAAGGGAAACAACGCCTCTGTAACCATAAATAATATCAAAGAAGTTTATGGAAATGTTTTGAACGTTCGTAAGTGTCAACGATGGTTTAGCAAATTTCGTTCAGGTGGCTTTAGCCTTAAAAACTGTGATGGCAGGGGCCGACATGTTGGAATTGATATTGATGCTCTGAAGACGCTTCTTGAGTTTAACCCAAGGCAACACACTCGTGGCCCTCAAACTGTATGTCTCTCATGAAACAATACGTAAACATCTAAGGAATATGGGAAAATCCATAAATAAGGTGTTTGGGTGCCCCACAAACTCTCCAATGATCATCGTTTTCCAACGTGTGAACGTTGCTTTGTCTCTCTTGCGCGTAATGTGCATGAACCATTTTTGGACAGAATTGTTACCGGTGACGAAAAATGGATTCTCTTTGCGAATATTAAACGCCAAAAACAATGGCTCAGTTCTAGAAAAACCACTTCCGACCCCAAAACCTGGACTCCATTCGCAAAAAGTGATGCCTTGCTTGACGACCTAATATTATATATATATTTTAAATATCATATTATATGTTACATATATATATATATAATATATTTATTAACCTAATTTAACATTTAATAAATGCTTTTATAGCCTTTTTTCTGTGCATAAAAAGAAATCGCGAAACTTAACAAATGTCTAAATTTGAGGCCATCTTTGAGCTTGAGACCCGGGACAATTGGCCTTCCTACCCCCCCCTGCCCCTTTAATTGGTCCAAGTACTGAGTGACCTGGTTCGAACCAAAAAACATCGAAATATTTTCATTATCATTTGTAACAAACGATTTAAATTAACTGAAAATATGGCATTGAAATCTCCTTTATGGTTAATATCGTAGTTCCACGTCCTTTTCCAATTCCGTTTCTTCCTTTTACTATCTTGTGTTTCTCTGCCTCATTGTTTTACAACCCCGTAAAATACCTGTAGTTTACATTTATCTTTGTTCACCGGTGGGGAATCAGTGAGTTTACGGACTTATAACGCTAAAAGTTGGGATTCGATTACCTGCGGTGGACACATGGATTTACTATAACACAAATAACAACTACATCCCTCTTGTGGCAGCCAGGCAAAGTTGGCGATATCTTATTCTAAGTACTTAAGAGCGAAAGGCCCCCCAGTGGCACAGCGGCAGGTCTGCGGACTTATAACGTTACAAAAATTTACAAATTAATTAATCAGAAGGAAAGTTCACAGAAAATTAGTTCGAAACCCATAAATATACAAACTACATCTGATAAATAGTGAGTTGGTGAACAGATGTTTTTAACTATCCCAGAAAGTTTATTTGATAGAATAAAAAGAAAAAAAAAGATAATCCCCAAACTAAGCTATGATGTTAGATTATAGCAAAGGAAGTACAGTGTTTCTTTGTTTTGAATTTCGCGCAAAGCTACACGAGGGCTATCTGCGCTAGCCGTCCCTAATTTAGCAGTGTAAGACTAGAGGGAAGGCAGCTAGTCATCACCACCCATCGCCATCTCTTGGGCTACTTTTTTACCAACGAATAGTGGGATTGACCGTCACATTATAACGCCCCCACGGCTGAAAGGGCGAGCATGTTTGGTGGGACGGGGATTCGAACCCGCGACCCTCAGATTACGAGTCGAGTACCCTAACCACCTGGCCATGCCGGGCCTAGGAAGTACAGATACTGATAGTTTGTGCTCAAAGACGTAAGCAGAAAAAAATAAAATAAATGGATTTAAAGTGACTATTGAACTCACTTCTAATGATTAACAGTGAAATCATGGCATAATGAAAGTTCGATTTTTTGTTGTTGTTTGTAACATCTTTAAATATTTTTGCACCTCAGGTAACTTTGATGGAGATTACATATGGATTTATAAAACCGGTGTGATATTTTGGATAATTTTTGGTCTGGGGTACCTAGCGATGATTCTTAACTACATCTCCCGAGCCATGCGATGTAAGCAGATTCGTCGAATGGAAAATGGCCTTTCGCTCAAAATCCACCACACTCAACAGAAGGTGGAGAAAAGGGTAGAAGATATCCATCACCTGCTTCAAGAGTTTGTCACTAAGGTAAGGCAGAGGTGTAACACAAACGTACGGAGTACAGTGAAGTATTTATAGAGCAAAAAACAATTATATGTATATATATACTACCTCGATCATAACGTCATGGCAGTTTTGTTGGGTTATTGCTGGTTTATCCTGGTGATAACAGTATGAATATTAATGTTTTGGTTATTGAATTACCCTGTTGATGTTACACTGATGACTATTTCTCTGTTGTTTTACAGGACCGAGTCGATAACAACGTCATGGCAGTTTTGTTGTGTTATTAATGTCTTAGTCTAACAATAAAAATTTTACCTGTAAAACAACAGAGAAATAGTCATCAGTGTAACATCAACAGGGTAAGTCGATAACCAAACATTAATATCGATACTGTTATCACCAGGATAAACCAGCAATAACCCAACAAAACTGCCATGACGTTATGATCGAGTCAGCCCTGTAAAACAACAGAGAAATAGTCATCAGTAACATCATCAGGGTAATCGATAACCAAAACATTAATATTCATACTGTTATCATCGGGATAAGCCAGTAATAACCCAACAAAACTGCCATGAAGTTGTGATCCAGTCAGCCCTGTAAAACAACAGAGAAATAGTCATCAGTAACATCATCAGGGTAAGTCGATAACCCAACATTAATATCGATACTGTTATCATCCGAATAAGCCAGTAATAACCCAACAAAACTGCCATGACGTTGTGATCGAATCAATCCTGCTAAAAAAAAGAAAGAGAGAGAGAGACTGTCATCAGTGTGGCATCACCAGGGAAGTCAATAAACAAACAGAAAAAAAAGTCAAGTAATTGTAGACTCGTTCGTAAAGAGTACAAATTAAATGATAAACACACAATAGGACTGAATGAAAACACGAGCTCATCTCGATATAATAACTAGTTTTCGTAGCTAGATTATGTACATTTCAATATATTTTTACAGTATATCATTTTTTATCCTTGTTATGACGAGACTACAATTCATTCTTTGCACTAGTGAGTTCCTGTTTTGAGAACTGTACTTCCGGTTTGATTTTTTTTACGACCAGTATCTTGATTTGTAACCAGATGTTTTGTATATTACAATAAACTTAACTTACTTTTAAATATTTGGTCGCCAGTTTCAAAAGAAAATATACATAGTAGTTTTTCATTCGTTCTTCTTTTCTTTTTTTGTAAAGCTTCACTTAAACGTAAAAAACAAAAATTGATTGGTTCAAAAATAAAAACCATTCGTTTCGGTTTACATAACTATTTTTCTGTTCCCGTCATCTTGATTTGGCAAATATAAAAGAATATCTGAAACATAGTATAAGTTATACAACAATGATGTGTATTTATTCGATAAACATGGATGGATGTAATAGTCTTAAAGAGAGTCTTAAATAAGTTAGTATGACGATAACAAGATAAGATAATTGATTAGGAGCTTTCACCCCCACCCCCCCTCTAGATATATGAAAAAAAGACTAAGGGGGAGCTAAAAGAACATTATATGATAATTGAAAGTTTATGGAGGAACTAAAATGAGGCGCTTGAGATAATTATACGCAAAATATTTACCAGGCAATACTGAAATTCTGTGGCCAACAACCCACAAATAGACGAATCTTGGAGAGGTGGGCGTGGCGAATCTTCTATCTTACCATACAAAGTCGTCTGTTGTGAAAACTGATGGATGGTGACTTTTTCTACTTTAACATACATTAGATACTTAACGAAATGTTATTCTGGACAGTTACTTTTGTAAGTCTTCTAAGAGGAATGATCTATTGAGCTAGACACTGCCCCCCCCCAACCTCCTTATTTCCACTTTAACCTTTGACATTAGTATATAGTAATGTTGTTTGGAATGAAGAGAAAGAGTTATACCAGTTCTTAGTATTGAGCTATAACTAAACTTGGTGAATAATGTCAATAATATGTTTATACCAGTTCTTAGTGTTGAGCTCTAACTAAATTTGGTGAGTAATGTCAATAATATGTTTATACCAGTTCTTAGTGTTGAGCTCTAACTAAACTTGGTGAGTAATGTCAATAATATGTTTATACCAGTTCTTAGTGTTGAGCTCTAACTAAAGTTGGTGAATAATATCAATAATATATTTATACCAGTTCTTAGCGTTGAGATCTAACTAAATTTGGTGAATAATGTCAATAATATGTTATGTTTATACCAGTTTTTAGTGTTGGGCTCTAACTAAATTTGGTGAGTAATGTCAATGATATGTTTATACCAGTTTTTAGTGTTGGGCTCTAACTAAATTTGGTGAGTAATGTCAATAGTATGTTTATACCAGTTCTTAGCGTTGAGCTCTAACTAAATTTGGTGAAATAATGTCAATAATATGTTTATACCAGTTTTTAGTGTTGAGCTATAACTAAATTTGGTGAATAATGTCAATAATATGTTTATACCAGTTTTTAGTGTTGAGCTCTAACTAAATTTGGTGAATAATGTCAATAATATGTTTATACCAGTTCTTAGTGTTGAGCTCTAACTAAACTTGGTGAATAATGTCAATAATATGTTTATACCATTTCTTAGTGTTGAGCTCTAACTAAACTTGGTGAATAATGTCAATAATATGTTTATACCAGTTTATAGTGTTGAGCTCAAACTAAATTTGATGAATAATGTCAATAATATGTTTATACCAGTTCTTAGTGTTAGGCTATAACTGAACTTGGTGAATAATGTCAATAATATGTTTTTGGATCCCTCTTAAAGTTTTGTTTTATTCTCACAAACCTAATAAAGTGGCTCAGCGGCGGAGTCTGAAGACTTATAACGCTAAAAATCGGAGTTCTATACTAGTGGTGAGAAGATCACGGACAGCTTATCGTGTATCTTTATGCTTAAAACCAACAAACAATTTTTTTTAGTTTGTCATTTAATCTTTATTCGATTTCAAAACTAACAGTCATAAATATAAACAAGTTAAAACACATTTTTAGTTTTTAAGACGGTATTTATCATTGCAGTCTCTCGCTGTTTAGCTGTTATTGGGTCATACAAGTTTTATCTTTAAATTCTTAATTCTAGCGTATAACAAACCAAGTACCGTAAATACTGCCCAAGGGTAAATAAAGTTATGTTAGTTTTTGTCGTTTTTATTGAAATGTATTTCATGTAAATGATCTCTTTTCCTTAATTATGAGGAACTCAATCGCAAATGTAATGTGATGAATAACTACGTAACAACCTTAAAGTTATTTTAATTCTAATAGTATTAATGGTTTACACTTGCTTTAGTACTCTGGATGTTATGATTAGGCATTCCAACGATTCACAGAAATACTCAAACTTAATGTTTGAGAGTTTAAGTACCCTTTAGCAAAAATTGACACGGGTATTTGTATTTTGTATTTATGATAAAGCTACTAAGGCTTTCTGCCGCCGCCTCTTATTTTGAGCTACTGATCAAAGGGAAGGCAGGCAGACAGTCCGTAGCTCCCTACCATCTGCGCTAAGGGATCAACAGTCACCTTTATCACGCAATCACAAATTATAGAGCAGGAAATATTTTGTGGTAACGCACAGATTCGAACTCGATTCGCCATCTCAGAAATTCAAGGCTTAACTACAGGGCCAACTCTCGCCCTAAAAGAGAGAGTAGTATATAAACCATTATTTGGCAAAAGTGTATGTGTGTATCGCTTATGACTGACGAACCGCTGAACCGATTATCACCAAATATTACATGTAATTGCCCCCCACCCCCAAGTGCGACACAGTGGGAATAGGCGTTCTGTCTCAGGTAGTATAGAAAGTATAGGAACTGATATTTTTAACATACGCAATCAAGTTTGAGTGTTGTTATTTTGTTTGTTTATAAGCACAACGCATCACCACGGGCTACCTACGCTCTGATCAGCGAAGGGATGGAACCTTTATTTTTTAGAGTTGTATACTTACAACCTTACTGCTTAAACAGTAGGAGGCATGAGTGGTGTTTGTTTTGTTTTCAGTATTATTTAAACAAATACTTAATCTGACAGTTTAAAAGTACTTGTTGAATTCAAAGTAAGAAAAGATAGTCTTAAAGAACGAGTGTCCATCATTTACCGGATTTTCTCTTTTGTTTATTTTATTTTACCTTTTGTTAAGACTTAAAAAATATCGTTTTATTTAAAACAACATTTTGATACAAGAGTAATTCCATTAATACAGACCTTCAAACACTTTAATCCCTTCATATTGTAGTTGATGATTGTTAAAATGTGTGCTTAATGTCTGTAGGGACAAATGATATTATTAGTTTTACAATGTTCATTTGAGTTTCATTTTCTAAGTTCCTAATTTTCGAATACAGCAGAAATCCCGACGAAAAGTGCCATCACGGGATGGCTCACTTTCCTTTGGTAAATTAGATCATCTCGATAGCCCTACAGAGAGTGATGGTACTGAAAGTCCTCGAGACAAGAACCACAACACAGAACTTCACCTTCAACGACTGATAAAACTTGTGGAGGCGCTGAGACTCGAAACTAACAGCCAACATTTTCACGATCATCATTCTAACAGGGGGTTAGCAGAAGTATTGGACCTGGCATCAAGTACAGATCTCCCGTGTACGCGTCGACACAGTCTGCCAGTGACCCTTACTTCAATCACTATACATGATGAAATTCAATCTCCGGCCATCAGAAATAGAAGCCAGCTTGTTTTTCATTCTTCAACTCATGTCAATGGCTCTGTAGCTAAACATGGCCGATTTTCTGAATATCGCAATCCTTTCCTTGTAAAAGGCCTTCTCGGAGTTCCTAATGAAAACTTGAAAAGTTCGAAGTGTGGATATGTTCAAAGACACCTCCCCAGTTTTGACATAGAAAGCATAAAAAGTACGAATTTGTGATTTTTTTTAATGCGTTTACCTCATTCATGACAAACGGAAATAGTCATGTGCCTTTACCTTCCAAACTCTGATGCCCCTTCACCTCCGAATTGTAAAGTACATCAGATATTTCTAAGTGTCATTGATACTGATAGTGTCAAATGTTTCATCCATTTCAAAGTTGATGTATTAAAATCTGCTTAACTTATTGTTAGTCCACTGAATGTAATCATACTGATTCTGAAGCAAGAAAGAGCTGAAAAGAAATATATTTTTAACCAACTCCACGTTCTGCCTTGTCAGTCATCCTGAGATGTATTCAAGACGTATTCAATGAAACCTACTCTTTTCCAGCTTTTTGTGTGTATGTGTGTGTGTAACTATTGATCTAAAGACAATTCTTAATTACACGAAAATAAAGCTTCAAAAGATCATCTCAACATGAATAAAATAAGTTCGTTTTAAAATTATGTTTATCAATTACTTATATTTTTTATAAGGCAGCAAAGGATCAATTGTTAGTTTTCTGCGAGTATCTTTTAATTATTTTACTTTTTCATAATTGTTATTCATTGTAACATGGATTAATAGCTTTTAAGTTGTTGAAATCCGAAATTCACGAGTTGGAAGATTATGATTTATGTAGTATTAAGTATATTTTTAACTTGTCATTAACTATAGTTTCTTGACATGTACTCATCAAAGATGATACTATAAAACCGCTAGGCCATGGCCCGTCTTCCACCATAGAGACATTTAGCCTTTCGTTAGAGCATTCATGTGTAATATCCTATGATATACATATACGGTGTGTGTCGTAAGCATAAGTACATGTTTTTGAATATCACCCATATATCTCAATGTCGTCCTCTACTCGTTTTCTGAATTACAAATATTGTAACGCAGTTAGCACTCTCTATGAATGGATGTTATGACCAGAAGTTGAGATGTTACTCACAGACACCATGATGTATAAAGTAGAAGAAGACGTACTTAACAACCTCACTTATGCTAGTATTTTGAGCCAGCTGCAAAAATAGTTGCTCTTTACAACAACTAGTTTTAGTTGTGCATATAAAAACTTACTCATGTTTTGAGACTTTAATATCCTGTAAGCCTTTTTATCTGCTTCATCTTACTTACGCTTTTGACTTTCAAGTGTATATACTGTACACAACAACTGCACAAAAATTAATTTAAAAAAATAAACTAATTAATTTCGACAATAAATATATAGATACATCTATGCTGGTAGTTACGATTCTGAGTCGACTTCTTAGTTATAATATCTGAGAATTAGTTTATTTTTAGTAAGCCCACATAAAAGATTTGTGTCTTCATTATCATTCCGAAACAAACATAGTGCACATTCATTATGAAATTTGCGGGATGGTCTGTATCTGAGAGTATGAAATCTGTGGGATGTTCTATATCTGAGAGTATGAAATCTGCGGGATGGTCTGTATCTGAGAGTATGAAATCTGTGGGATGTTCTATATCTGAGAGTATGAAATCTGCGGGATGGTTTGTATCCGAGAGTATGAAATCTGTGGGATGGTCTGTATCCAAGAGTATGAAATCTGCGGGATGGTCTGTATCTGAGAGTATGAAATCTGTGGGATGTTCTGTATCTGAGAGTATGAAATCTGTGGGATGTTCTGTATCTGAGAGTATGAAAATCTGTGGGATGTTCTGTATCCGAAAGTATGAAAATCTG